ATATTTAGTATCATAATAGTTCATAGAAAGGAAAGTACACACCACCATATATATTAAAGTTTCCAAGATGTTTAGATAATTGTATTCATTACACGTTCAAAAGATAAATACATAAACATCATTCAAAAGAAGTAATTAACGCCAGCGCGTTAATCCCAAAAGTTGATTCCCAAACCTGCTTAGCGGTTCCCTGAGAATACAAGTTAATTCAAAGAAAAAGTGTCAACAATTAAGTTGGTGAGTTCGTAAGTAGTTTAGAAAAATTGGATGCCATTCCAAAATGGGTGTATGTTTTCCAGAAAACTCAGTATTTCAAGTGTGAAGAGTTATGACTTGTTGTGTTGAAAATGAATGTATTAGATCCAGAAAATCCCATATTTTCCCTAATGGTTGAGATATGATTTGTTGTGTCTTCCAAGAAAAACCCTTAAATTCTTATAAAAGTATGAAATGCATATGAATGTTCGTGTCATAAGTTGTAAATAATTGCACCAGGAAAATCCCTTATCTTCCTATTAGTTGTTTGGTTTGTATACAGGAAAAACCCTTATTTTCCTAACATGACTGGCAGTCTCTAAGACCGAAAATCGCAAGAAAACGACGTTCTTAAAAGTTGTGTCATAGTTTTATATAATAAAGCTATACGAAGATCGCATTTGTTAGATGAAGAATAGTTTTAACAGTTACTCGTTTATAAAAGCATAATACCATAATAATTGTATATCCGATGAGTTTTATAATCATACTAAACATAATATGCGTGTAACGACGTTCTTCAGGCGTCGCAGCGTTATGACAACTGTCACCCCAAAAGACGGACTGTAGCTAACAGTCAGGGCGCGGGATCATGACTTCCCGTATAAATCTATACACATTTGACATGTTCTCCGAACGGGAGACTCTGGATATAGACAAGACTTGCAGCATTACTTTCTAATAAAGAAAAGTAACGTTTGAAGATATACACATCTCATGGATTCTCAACTAAGCCTGTATTAAAGTGATAGTTTTTGTACGCGAAGTTTATCCTTTTTCACAATGTTTAACAAAGCATAAATCATAAGTCTTTAGAATGTATAAAACGACTTAACCATGAAAAGTACTTTGAAATCTTTATATACTTTGCATAAGTCTAATGCACACAAAGTATGACAAGAGTTTTCTATAATAGTAATGAGTTCTAAGTGATTTGTTCGGTAAAACAAGCGAAGTGAAACTTTATAAAATACACGATAATAACCGTATGTTTACTTGTATTCCCCCCCTAAAAGAGTATAAAAGCATTTAAAATGTATTTAAAGTGTGTTTGAAAGGGGTATGAACTCACTTGAAAGTTTGAAGATAGCAAGATGGAAAACCGGGCAAAGTTTCGTCTTGGGAAATGGATTTTCCTCGGGATTCTCGGGATTTCTCGGGAGTAAAATCAACCTTCGGGACTTGCACAAAATGACCAGGGCTTCGGGGTAGTGCGAGCACGGAAAACAAGGCAAAACGCAAGAAAAAGGACAGTGAATGAGCAATTTTTCTGGGAACCCTCGCATCCCTTTTATAGGGGGCTGGAAGGCACACGTACGCGGGGCGTACTCCCGTACGCGGCGCCTACGGAACGTCATCGCTGACCGCATCCTCGACTGCATCGCGCTTCGGATGGGCGCGCGGGGGGGGGGGGGTAGGCTCGCATAGGGGCGGCGTGGACGATCCGAGGCCGTGGCCTCGAGTACGCTGGGCGTACGCGCGTGACTCAGGCTTTGGATAATACCGAATTTTTGAATAAAAATATATATTAATTATTTATCAAACTTCAAAAATTCATATCTCCTTCATACGAACTCCGTTTTCGACGTTCTTTATATCCACGCGTAGGTGAGACTAAGGTCTACAAATTTCGTTTAGATTCCGTCGGCAAATTCCGAAATTATTTTTATTAATTATTTATTAAAATGACGTGATTAAGGAATTTCTTTAAAAATTTATAACTTTTTCATACGATGTCCGATTTGAGCGTTCTTTTTATGCATGTTTGTAGTTTAACAATATCTATGACTTTCATTTAGACACCTAGGGTCAGAAAGTGTTTTATTGAAACTTTGCATTTTTACGTAACTTCGTATTGCCGGTTTTTGTCGGAAAACTTAGAATGGTCATAACTTCTTCGTTATAACTCGGATTTTTGTGTTATTTATATGTTTGGAAACCTTAAGACGATACCTACCACATAGCGTACTCCAAATAGAGTTTTTGAATACTTCCTTTTTCGATGATATTCTAATTCCTTTCTTAAAGAGGTTACAGGACTCGATTTTTACTGACTTGAAATGACGGGCTGTTACAACATTCGTTGCCTTTAGCCGTTGAATTGACATTAATGACAGAGAATCGTGAGCAATCGATACATTCCTCTTCCTCAATTTCACCAATATTGTCAGAATTATCTTCGATATCAGCAAAATTTTGTTGAGAACCAAGTGTCGACTTCTCAAGCATGTTCAAAATCTTAACTTGTTCATTTTTTGCTAAGGTCTCATTCATAATTTTCACAAGATCATCAATTTTCAAACATTCATTAATACCTACAATATCATATGCATAATAATCATTTGAAATTTTATCATAATTTGCTATCTTGCTTTCACAGTCATATGCGATTTCATTTATCTGTCTCTTTTAGAAGCAAGAAAAAAGTAGCTTTCGATGCTGTTCACCACAAATCTAAGTAGAATGGTAAAGTTTAGTTAATTTCACATACTACCTTCTATTAGTATTATAATAGATATTTTGTTGTTTGAAAAGCATAATATTGTTCATTCAAATTTTATCATTATCGACCAAAAGATTAGTAATCCTTAAGTCTAGAGATTCTACCAAACCCTTTTTTTTCTAGTTTATTCTTAACTTCATAATAGATGGTTTTGGACTATTCTGCTTCACTAATCATGGAGATTAACATGTCATTAAGATAAGAACACATATTATCAAACTCAGATAAGACATCAGTAAAAAAAGATAAAGGAATTTTAAAAGAGATTAGAAAATCACATGCCTTTGCAGTCATTGGTGATTTGATCTCGTCTTTCGACACAAAGCATCACCCTACAATTTTTTCTTCATCATCATCCACACTCTCGTCATCTATCTCGTTTAGTTTCAAATATAATGCATTGTGTGCAGGATGACGCCTTTCCTCATCATCCAATCTTGAAGACCAGATTTGATATGTAACCTTTTCTTCGTCATATCCTCTAGCAATTAGTGAAACACTCTTTGTTCAAGAGAGAATATCCTCATGATTCTCAATATAATAAGCCTCGTCCTTAACTTTCTCTATCTTCTCTTCTTTTATTCTTAGCATACAATCTTTTGCTAAGTGATCGTAACCATTGCAGTAGTTATAATTATAGCCATAATTACCCTTCAACTTGAATTCCTTCTTCTTCTCATTCGAACTCTCCACCTCTTTTTTCTACATTTACTACTTCTTTCACACATTTCCCAGTCGATGATATAACCTTACTATCAAATTACTCTTAAACTTCCCATTTAGTGGCTTTTTGAAGAATTTATTGATCTTATTGTTTGAGTGGTATACAACTACGTTATCATTGGAGTTGAATAAAAATGGTTCATCACTATCCTTAGATTTTTCTATTGATTCAGATTCCATTGTAGCGACTTTCGACATTAATGTAGTGGTCCTCCTAGACTCGATTTACTTTCTTCAGCAATATCATTAATCTTGCTTTCATGTGCTTTCAACATATTATATAGATTAGCAAGAGAGTAACCATCAAAGCTTTCTTGTATCTTGATCATCAAACTAATATTTCTCCATTCCTTTCTTAAACCCATGAGAAATGTGAGATTTAACTCTTGTGATGAGCATGTCACTCCATAGCGAGAACACATGAATATTAATTCATTCAATCGATCCAAGTATGATTCGGCTGATTATGTTTCCTTTTACTTGAATTCTCCCAACTCTAGCAAGCATTGTTTAACCGAACTCTTCTTTGTCTTCTCATTACCTTGAAATTTTTACTTCATAGTGTCCTAAATTTTCTTTGCAATTTCACATCTGCAAACATAACTATAAACTACTAGTGAAAGAGCACCACATAATTCATGCATACATTTCTTATCATTTTCCTTCATCCTAAATCCTCTAGTGATCATCTCCTCCGAAGTTAGAGACCGTTGTGACATGTTCGCAGATGGTTTGGATACTGCAGGATGGATCTGACTTGGATGCTTCCCTAATCACACAATCACAAAATAATCATTAAAGGATGACCAGACGTCGCTCTAGCGATCAAGTTAGTTTTTTGGAGAGAGAGAGAGAGAGAGAGAGAGAGAGAAATTTAGGGTAATTTTCATAAGACAGAAGATGGATTCCTTGCTTGAGACGAAAGAGATCATTTTATACCTTTTACTAATGGATCATGGGGACCGTGCCTCGTGAGCGTGAAATGTGGCCTCCTCTTACTGGGAGGGCTATTCATGCTAACTAACCGCCAGGTGACGTCAGTTCTGGGCGTCACCCAATCTATTCGTTGCTTTCTCATTGGTTATGAGTGAATGAGGAGATTACATGGAATGTTCTTCCCTTATGACGAGAAATGAGATGTCGCTCCGGCTTTGGCTCACTTAGGCCAAGACTGGGTCTTAGCCAAGGTAATAACGTCTCTTTTACATTTTCTGTTACATTTAATGTGGTTGTTAGGTAACATTAACAAGTCCCTTAGACCAGTAGGGCTCTACGTTCACAACGTAGCAGAGTTGTTCTAGTCTACTCACGGATACGTGGCGAGCTGCTATTGATAGCCTATGCTGATGGCAGAGAGAAATCATCGTTGTTCGGCAGTTTCATTATGAAGACGGTTCGTTGCCCCTTTCTTTGTATTTAAGTCTTTGTCTTCCCTGGCAAATCCTCCTCACCTGTTACCTTGCTTCCTTTATGCTTCTTTTCGAAAGAGAACTTTTCGTTTTTTCCTCCAAACTCTTCCATGGGTACTTCTCACTCTTTGGGAAGAAATTTCACTGCTGAAGAGTGGAAATATTTTCAATTCCAGTTCAGGTTTGTTCCTGAACACGGGGTGCAAATCCCCTTGCCTGATGCCACTCTGTATAGTCCTCCTGAGGGCAAAGTCGGGATCCCAATCACCTTGCTCGATGTAGGTCTGCGCTTGCCTACCACCGATTTCTTCAACTTGATCATCCGGGAATATGGGTTTTTAGTACGAGAGTTGACCCCTATCGCTATAAACAAGATAGTCGGCTTTGAACTCCTTTTCCGTGCCCTAGGCTGCTTGGCAACTATTCCTGCTTTCAAACACTTCTTTAATGCAACCACTTATTTGAGGACTCGAACCCTTTCTCGCCGATAGGGAGTCCTTATTCTTATCCATGATAAGAAGTCTAAGTAAAATTGGAAAGAGAAATTCTTATGGGTGAACAACGATCTCGTGGTACTCAGTTACCCAAGTACTAATGTGTACGTCGACCGTGCCCCCGTATTGTTTGGTGCTAAGAAGGAACTAGCTGATGCCCTGGAGAAGATCAACATCACCGGTGAAGATTGGATTAACTGTTTCTTGGCCGCCGCCGGGATGAGTGCTGCTTGGAGGGCTCATGGGAAGGTGTCTGAATTCTTTGTTGAGAAAGAGGGTATCTTTTTGGCTTATCCTCTCCCCCCTTCCTTTTATATATGAAAAGATTGGCAATTCATATTTAAAGCGGTGCTTTGGCTTAGCCGACATTGTTTCTTGTTTTTACCAAGAATGGAGGAGACTGTTTCTTTGGATAGAGCTCTTCGGGTCTATTTGACAACGAGCATCAAGTTCCCGACATTGACCTGGTGGAGGCTCTTCCACCTCCATTTTCTGGCAATGAACTCACAGCGACTGCCAGTTCTCACAGTATTACCGGTGCTGGTGAGGCTCCGGACCTATAGGACGTTGTCGTTACTGATGCTTCTCAGAAGGATCCTACACCGCCCGAGTCCTCAAGGAGTCTTCACCAGGTTAAGAGGCATTTTTCATTCTTGTAAGTCTCTTCCGTCAGTCGAACTGGGGCAGCTAGCACCAGGCCCCCTTTTCGTAAGTGTAACACCCATAAAATTCAAGCCAATTTTAAACTTTTTACAACATTTAAAATCGTTAAGTTATTATTGTTTGTTTTCCAAATAGTTAATCATCAGAGTATCCCCAAAATCAGATCATAAAATGATGAAATATGAGGAGGTATACAATCATGCATTTGCCTTAACGCGATCATCAGAAGTACCTGAAACAATAATCGATAAATGTAAGCTCGAACGCTTAGTGCGTTACCCTCAAAATACCAATGTCATACAAAGATAACCATATCATATAGCATATAAGAAAACAACATGCATAATAAGCCATCAGTCTGACTAGACCGCCTCCGTAGGTGCTCAGTCTATCTGGACTGCTCTCCGAACCTTTGGCACGTCTGGACCTCCCTCTCGGGGCCTTCCGCCTATTCGGACCACTTGTTGGGCCTTCGGCCAGACTTGATTTGCCCGGCCCGGGCCTACAGTCTACCCGGTCCGCCCAAGGTGTCTTGGCCTACTACACACAGTAGGACCAGCCTCAACCCTTTCCCCCAAACCAACAAACATGTGATCATACATATAAACAAGTCAACATGCATATCTAACATATCACTATTCGTGGCAATCATCCTATAACCAATATACCGATCTAACCGATCACTAACATAGCAACCATCTTATAACCAGGATACTGATCTAACCAATCTCTAAGATAACAACAATCCTATAACTAGGATACATATCATAAAGCATAATGTGCAACTTCCCTGTCGTAACATAGAATGTCGGCACGATAAAAAAACAGGAGGTGAAGGACATCAAAGAAATTCCAGAAGTATGCAACTTCCCTGATGTTTTCCCAGACGATCTGCCTGGTGTACCACTCGCAAGACAAGTCGAATTTCGGATCGACTTAATCCCAGGAGCTACCCCCGTCGCCAGGGCTCCATATCGCTTAGCACCGGCAGAGATGCAAGAACTATCCAGCCAGTTGAATGAACTATTGAGCAAAGGATTCATCAGGCCAAGCTTCTCGCCCTGGGGAGCACCAGTCTTATTTGTAAAGAAGAAGGATGGGTCTTTTCGCATGTGCATAGACTATCGAGAACTAAACAAACTCACTATCAAGAACCGTTATCCCCTACCCCGAATCGATGACCTCTTCGACCAGCTCCAAGGAGCCAGCTACTTTTCAAAAATCGACCTGAGGTCGGGCTATCATCAACTGCGAGTTCAAGAAGAGGATATCCCCAAGACGGCATTCAGAACTCGCTATGGGCACTATGAGTTTGTAGTGATGCCATTCGGGTTAACTAACGCGCCGCGGTGTTCATGGATTTGATGAATCGAGTGTGTCGACCCTTCTTGGATAAATTCGTCATCGTATTCATCGACGATATCCTGGTCTATTCGAGGAGCGAAGAAGAGCACAGTCATCACCTACGACTAGTTCTGGAGGTTTTAAGGACCGAAAAGCTTTACGCTAAATTCGCAAAGTGTGAATTTTGGCTCCGAGAAGTAGGATTCCTTGGCCACGTAGTAAGCAAAGAAGGAATACATGTGGACCCCTCGAAGATCAAAGCAATCGAAGATTGGTCAACACCACAACGCCGACAGAAATCCGACAGTTTTTAGGACTCGCAGGCTACTATCGAAGATTCATACAAAACTTCTCCAAAATCGCTAAGCCTCTCACCACCTTGACTCAGAAAGGGGTGGTGTTCGAATGGGAAGATAAACAAGAAGCCGCCTTCCAGACACTAAAGCAAGCCCTATGCAGCGCACCAGTCTTGTCTCTTCCAGAAGGAACTGATGATTTTGTGGTGTATTGCGATGCTTCAAATCAAGGCCTCGGCTGTGTGCTCATGCAAAGGGGAAAAGTCATCGCTTATGCATCAAGACAACTGAAAACACATGAAGTTAATTACACAACCCACGACCTTGAATTGGGAGCTGTGGTGTTCGCCCTGAAGATTTGGAGGCACTACCTCTACGGCACCAAGTGCACCATCTTCACTGATCACAAAAGTCTTCAACACATCCTCAATCAGAAAGAACTAAACATGCGCCAAAGAAGATGGGTGGAATTACTGAATGACTACGAATGTGAAATTCGCTACCACCCAGGCAAGGCTAATGTAGTAGCCGATGCCTTAAGCAGGAAAGAATACTCGGGTCGCCGAGTAAAATCCCTAGCCATGACCATCCACTCCCAACTGGCCACTCAGATCAAGGACACCCAATTTGAAGCCCTGAAACCAGGAAACGTGGCAAGCGAAGCACTAAGGGGGATGGATAAGAACTTGGAAGTCAGAGGGGATGGAGCTCGTTATCTCATGAATCGAATCTGGACACCGAAGTTCGGTGGATACCGAGACGTTGTAATGGATGAGGCCCACAAGACTCGATACTCCATTCATCCGGGGTCAGATAAGATGTATCTAGACCTCAAAAGGTTATACTGGTGGCCAGACATGAAGGCTGAAATTGCTACTTATGTGAGCAAGTGCCTCACTTGCGCCAAGGTCAAGGTGGAATATCAGAAGCCATCAGGACTACTTTAGCAACCAGATATACCCGAGTGGAAGTGGGAGCGAATAACCATGGACTTCGTAACCAAACTGCCTAAGACATCAGGTGGGATGGATACCATATGGGTGGTTGTGGACAGATTGACCAAGTCCGCGCACTTCCTGCCAATAAAGGAAACAGACAAGATGGAAAAGTTGACCAGGACGTACATTAAGGAGATTGTACGACTACATGGTGTACCAACATCCATTATCTAGGATCGAGATAGTAGATTCACCTCGCGTTTCTGGCAGTCCCTGCAAAAGTCACTGGGAACCAGGTTAGACATGAGTACGGCCTACCATCCACAAACGGACGGACAAAGCGAGAGAACCATCCAGACGTTGGAAGACATGCTGAGAGCCTGTGTGATAGATTTTGGTAAGGCATGGGATACCCATCTACCGCTTATCGAATTCTCTTATAATAACAGTTATCACACTAGCATTGGAGTCGCTCCATTCGAAGCTCTCTACGGCCGCAAGTGTAGGTCGCCGCTGTGTTGGGCCGAAGTTGGAGATACTCAGCTAGCCAGAGGGCAAGTCCCTGATAGCACCCTTATGGGGCCGGAAATCATAAGGGAAACCACAGAAAAGATCATTCAAATTCGGGAAAGACTAAAAGCGTCTCGTGATCGACAAAAGAGTTACGCGGATAAGCGACGCAAACCTTTAGAATTCCAGGTCGGAGACCGGGTACTACTAAAAGTTTCCCCCTGGAAAGGGGTGATACGTTTCGGTAAACGGGGGAAACTAAACCCAAGGTACGTTGGTCCGTTCGAAATCCTTGCTAGGATTGGTCCTGTGGCGTACAAACTCCGACTACCGCAAGAACTTAGTAATGTGCACCCTATCTTCCACGTGTCCAACTTAAAGAAGTGTCTGTCTGACGAGACACTCGTAATACCACTCGAAGAAATCGAAGTTAATGAGAATCTCCACTTTGTGGAGGAACCCGTCGAGATCATGGATCGAGAGATCAAGAGAACAAAACAAAGTCGCATTCCCATAGTGAAGGTTCGTTGGAACGCGAAACGAGGGCCTGAGTTTACCTGGGAACGTGAAGATCAAATGAAACAAAAATATCCACATCTTTTCCCAAACCCTTGAAGTCCCAGCCGAATTTAAATTTCGGGACGAAATTCCCTCTAACGGGGGGAAGATGTGACAATCGTCAATCTTGAGTCAAGTCAAGTCATCAAGTCAAGCCGGTCAACTCTATTAAACCTTATGTATTAGGGTAAGTGTTATGTTCGTATTGTATAACTTGTTATGATAATGGGAAAACATCACAGGAGAAAAGTTTGTGTTAAAAAAATTTCCTAAGCCTTCGCATTTTAACCAAATAAATCAAATGCGATTCACAAAATTTTCATTCCAAAAATGCGAAACTCCAGGGACAATAATTGAAATCTTCTGTTTTCTTCCCCAATTCGCATTCTACTGTGAAATACTTCGCATTTTCATTTTTACACCTTTCGCATCCCTTCGCATTAATCACCTTCGCATTTTAACCAAATAAATCAAATGCGATTCACAAAATTTTCATTCCAAAAATGCGAAACTCCAGGGACAATAATTGAAATCTTCTGTTTTCTTCCCCAATTCGCATTCTACTGAGAAATACTTCGCATTTTCATTTTTACACCTTTCGCATCCCTTCGCATTAATCACCTTCGCATTTTAACCAAATAAATCAAATGCGATTCACAAAATTTTCATTCCAAAAATGCGAAACTCC